GGAACTCTTTCCTATTTTTTTAACAATAATGTGATAATGTATTTACTAACTTGTATATAATATCCACTAAATCTTTATTTTGGAACATGTTGATCATTTTAGGGAACTGGAAACATGTGCATATTGATATCTGTTTTCAAATGTATACAATATATTTCTGACATCATTGCAGGGTCTGATTAATTTGGATTTTTTTTTATAAATCTACCATATCATGATCTTTTATATTTGTCATAGGACAATAATATTAAGCTTGTTGTACTTTTAAACATTAGATTCTTTATTTGGTCTCTTACGGTTTTTCTGAGAAATAGTGTATGTAATAGTATTTCATTCATTTTGTGTCCACCATATCCACTGCTGATGACACGCTTCACTCAATATCAAAGCTCACCAGGGCTGGCTGGGATACAACAAACACAGTAGTGGTCAAAATGCTATTTGTATAAGCCATAAATGATAATTATTATGGTGTGAACACTTTTTATTTGTCATAATATTATTAGGTTTTTTTCACACCATAACAGTTGTTATTCTAACAAATGGCTTATATAATTAGTGTTTTGACCACTACTATGTTTGTTGTATCCCATCCAGCCCTGGTGAGCTTTGATATTGAGTGAAGCGTGTCATCAGCAGTGGATATAGTGGGCATGGTATTGATTGAAATACTATTACACACTTTTCTTCTTGGAAAAACTGTAATGGACTGCATAAAGAATGTAGTGTTTAAAGATACAACAAGCTTAATACTCTTGTCTTATGATAAATATAATTGATTATAATTATGCTTTGCCAGTAGAAGATATTAATCCCATAACACTTGTTCTTTTCTTTGTAGAAGAATTGTGCTTCATTTATGATGTCAACTAATATTTTGAATTCCATTGATGTGTACTGGTAATGATTACATCATTTTGAAATATTTAATTTCGGGATTACCTATTTGTATATTTGTATAAAATTCCTTACTAGTTATTAACAGTTTTTATGATTATTGACTAAAATTGTTTAATTGATCTTGATTGTGTTTACATTTTTGGAGTAGATAAAGCTGGTAATTAAATAACTTCTATTCAAGGTGAGCTATGCTGTTTGTCAGTATTTTGTGGTTAATGAAAACAATTTGAACACTTGTAAACATTGCATGCTATGGTTACCTGAGGTTAATTTTTGAATTGTTGCAAGAAATACTGATGACCTCTTTTTTTTTATATTTAATTGAAGTTCAAAATTACTGGGAAATAACCAAGGTCACCATATGGGAAAAACAAAACAAAATATTTGTATATGTACTATATTCTTAAATAAGTTTAGCTCAAACATCATGTTTATCATCTGGCCAGAATCTAATGGTGATATATGTAAATCACAAAGAGTTTAATGATTTTTTTTTCTTCTAATTTTCCTGTGGTAAGGTTATCATGAGCTACATTATAAGTGATACAAAGCCAATGAAACCATATCAATATTTTTTTTTCTCTTAAGAGACATTTGTACATTCTCCCAGTGTTGTAAATTTATCTGTGAAATAGTTTTGATATTTGGCAAACATTTACAAAATGTAAAGAAATAAACTCATAAAACTTAAAACGTAAAGTAAGCAACTTTGAGCATGAGCATTATGTTCTATTGAGCTTTCAAGTCAGTAGGTGGACTTATTTTATAAGGATTTAAGTGTGGTTAAATGCCATAGTTATCACTAGGCTAATAATCTAAGGGCTCTTGTAAGTAGTTTTAGTTCTTTTTGGGAAAAAAAAAAGAAGTTGATTAACTTTCCAAAGTATACTAACCTTTTAGGATTATAGTAAAAAAAAAAGTGGAACTTGCAACCTAATAAAATAGTAGCTTAGAGACTGCAGTATGGTTTAAGCTTATAATTTAAATTCTGTGTTATAACTTTAGGAAGTATTTTATTATGTAATTACACCAAGAACTATCTTTCGGTTGTTTAAATAAAACTTAACCTACAGTGTAGCCAAGGAACTTTTTAAAACATACAGAAGTTTGTCTACTTTCTGTATACCTTTGGTTTATTCTGATTAGCCCTCTAGTGGCATATCAATATTTCTGGGGACTTCTACTGCTAGAAACCAGATTTTGATACCCGTGGTGGGCAGAGCAAACATAGCCCTTTGTGTAGCTTTGTGCTTTATAACAAACAACAACATTATAATTACTGCTTTTATAGAGGTTAATTATTGAGGTTCTTGAATACACGTTTCAGAGAAAATATTAAGAAGTTTTTCTTATATTGTCTCTTCAATATTTAACTACCTTTATGTCAAAGAAATAAAATATGTAAACTTTCCAAAATATTTTATCATTTTATTGTAATAATTTTTTGGAGTTCTGGTATAAAGATAGTTTTTTCTTTGATTCAGTGTGAACGATTTTGAATAAAAAAAATCCAGGACTTGATGTTTTTGAATTTACTCTTGGTGTTGTTAAATTAAAATAATATTTCATTATTCTGTAAGTACTGAACCAAAGCTACCTATTTTTGAGTAAAATGTAATAAAAGCTGTTTCACTAATGAATGCAATTGAAATGACTTCCTTGTTTGTGAAAACAGAACTGTTTTGTCAATTTTCTTTTTTGCTTTCATTTTCTATGTAATATTACAATTAATTATTTTACATCTAAGGTTTGGATATGCTGTGTTAAGTTCACGCTATTCTTCCTTATGATGTAATCTTTTTTCCTTTTTTAATTATGTATATTTTCAAAAGTTCTTACACTACAAAAACATCTTAAATAGCACAATATCAACACGAATACAAATGTATTATAGATCCAAACAATAATTATTGTTAGAGTACTTATTGATAACTGTAATATCAAATTTCAACTACTTTCCAGCACTCCATATAATACAGTGTTAAACCGCAAACAAATTCTAATATTTGTTATGTGTGTGTGTGTGTCACTGTTTGCATCAAGGTTAGTCAAGTATCCACTATATTTAAAGAAGAAAAAGCATTTTGTGCAAATAATTCATAAGAAACGGTAATAACATAAAATAATAATAAGCAAATTATTAACAAAGGATACGCCCCCCAGTGGTATGTATGCGAACTTACATTGGTAAAAACCGGGTTTCGATACTGGTGGGCAGAGCACAGATAGCCCTTTGTGTAGCTTTGTGCTTTATAACAATCAACAACAAAAGATATAAAAATACAATTAAATTGAAAAAAAATTAAAAAGCATAGTAACAAAGTGAACCAAATAAATGGAGATAAATGAAGAGATGGTCCTTAGCTAAGGATATCCTACTGTTGTGTATCTGCTTGTTTGTTAATTTCATGTAGAAATTCTTTCCCAGAAACTTCAGCAATACAAGTCTTTTCTTAATTAAATCTAGTTTATTCTTTCTTGATACAACTTTGTAATACACAGAATTTACACAGTCACTTTAAACTTAACTGCTTTTATAAACACACGCTATAATTCACAGCGATTCACACACTTTATTTACAGTGCCTACTGCTCGCTTGAGTCAATTATCAATTATTTCTCTTCAATCTATCTCCGGCTTATATACTAAAAAAAAGAGGGCGTCTAACAAATACTGGGATATTCGTGAGGTTCCCCGATCCTGCTACTAACTCCAGCGCACATGCTCCCAGTGTCACGTGACTTCCGCCGTCGTAACACTGCCTCTTCCTTAGTATTGTTCATTCCAAACAATAGCCACTTACATTAAACCA